GAAAAAACCTAGTTTACTTTTAATGTAAGTCAATGGAACCAGACTTTTTTTCCAAGTCGTTTTAGGACGTTTCTTTTGGTCCATTCTTCATGAAATTTACAAACAATGTAAAGGACAACAGGCACTTTCAAATTATGCCAAAAACTCAAAAACAAAAATGGAGATACAAGGTTTTCTTCTGACAGCAGTGATATGTTAAATTAAAATGAGAAGTAAATGTAGACGACGGTTTAGATGATGTATGTATGTATGTAGACGATGTGTTGACTTCACAACAAAACATCATTCGATTAGGGGTTTTCAAACTTTTCCATACGACTGTTTAAGTGTGTGTGTGAAAGTCTTGGTGCTTTGGCTGCATGTGAGGTGATACAGAGAGCTCAGACAGCTGAGGAAAGTAAGCCAAAACATAATACCTCGTACATCTCCTCCGTTTGTATATAAACAGTCCATGACGAAAATCTGCCTGAGTTTATCAGAGCAAAGGGCTGCTGTGAGACACAGCGAGCCAAAGTCAATGAGTAGCCGCATTCCTGCTGCTGAAAGACTTAAAGCATCAGCTTTTTCTCATGAGAACCGCAGGTAGGGCTGCACAATGTATCATTTGGTACCCGTTGTTGCGATATTGGCTACTGCAATAGTGATATCGCACAAGTCTGCTATATGCACATAAGCCATCTAACCAATCACTGTGTTTTTTACTGTGTGTTTTGAGCATCCTGACCAATCACAGCTCCAGACGACTGTTTCTGTGGATGTCTGTGGAGTAATATATTCATGTAATTGGATCATTCGGCTGAATGTGAGTTCAAAGCACAATTCAGGCTTTTGAGTAACTTAAAATCCTTTTGCTCTGAGTGACCCTAAACCTTAATCCCATTTATTTCATTAAAATAAATGACTGAACATTCCATTTTTGTCATTACCGTAACTGTAACAAATGTTTAACAAATGCTCCGTTCCAGAGAAACTTACTGAGTCGGACTTGTTCACAGTGGTGGTGGTAGGAACCAGACGTCCACCTCTATAAGCTCCCTCACAGAAAGTTATTACATGTTTATGAATACGATGCTTGATGTCTGAGACACTTTCACAGTGATTTTTTTTATTAAGACTTGGTCTAAAACATATTTTAATCCACTCATGGTGGAGGGATACTTGAAGGGTGTTCTAAGGCAAAATAGTCCCCAAAGAAAACATGCTTTTTTTATTTTTTTTCAGATTTTTCACTGTTTTACCATCATCAACGTTCCATATATAAACTCAGAAGACACGTGTAGGTTCACTGGTGGTTTTGGATAGTAAATAAAATGGCTATATTTGCATTGTAGACATCGAGACCCCTGGTTCCTATCACCACCACTGTAAAGAAATCAGAGCTGGTAAGTTTCTCTACAAATGAATTATTTCACTTCAAATTACTCAGAATTACTCAATTTCTGAAGAAATGGAAGAATGATGCTGCTTATTACTTGCTGTAGCTAAAATAATGGGCCAGTTTAAACATAGTGCCAAGTATTTTTTTTCTCCTGTGGTGGTAATTCAGCTCTTGAACAGTTCCTTAGTTTGTCAAACATTGCCAACCATTTATTGTTACAGCTCTTTACATTTACAGGCCACATCTGAGGTGATTCACTGATTCTTCATGATGAATTCAAATGAATAATCCAATATCAAAGTACTTGTTTTTCCAGCTCAAAATCCAACAAAAGTCAAATATGTTGGTCCACATACTTTGAGTGTTTTCAATATACTACAAGTAATAATGCAACAGGAAGAAATATAAATCGCAATGCTAGTGTTTTGTCCATATCATGCAAGTCCATCCAATACAACTCCAAAGGTTTAACCCTTAGGATTCAAGTTGCGGGCAAAACGACAGGTCACTTCTAGCCTGCATAACTAACCATCGAGCTGTGACATCAGTATCAGTGAGTTATTTGGCTCGGAAAACCACCTAAAATCCTGATATTATTGCTCTGCTATTTGGCCTTCATATTCCAACAAAGGGTTAAAACAGCGACATGATTCGCAATCAGATAACTCATCAGACTCTGCCCTCACCATCCAGAGCGATTTCATTCCCCTGTGACCATCCATCACCCAGCAATCCAGCTCCAAAATCACCCACAACCCACTCGCTACTGTTATATTACATCTCTGCTTTTAGCCTTCATATTATAAACAAAGGGCTTTCAGTCTACATTGATTTTGAGTATTGAAAATATCTGATATTAAACATGCAACTCACTTTATATTTAAAACTAAAGCCTGTCTTGCTGTGTATCAGAGTTTTAGCACTGAGCACGAATCCAAGAGGACAGAAAATCAATAAAAAACATGTCCGCCTTATGATAATTGTTTATTTTTACTCATAATAACCAACAGAATGAATCACCATCAAAATTCTTGCACTTTCAGCTCACAAACACTCCAGACCAACAATTTCTGAAAAGATAACTACAACTGCATTTGTTTTTAAGATCTCTATAATTAAAAAAATACAAAATTTAGCAGGCGCTAGGTAAATTTTTGATCAGAAATGACCCAAATTCATAAAGATATCAAGTTTCTGTTAGCATTTACATGTCAAACAATGGCATATCTGAGTAGCCCAGGGTCTCCTGAAAACAACAACATGTGGCATGTGTGACTGTCACATGTGAATACTTTATAATTGCAATTGTAATTATAATTGAGCCAAAAAAATACCAAAAAAATTCCCCTAAATTTTAGGTTTCTAGGGCTTAAATCCCAGGTGGACCATCTCGCAGGCCAACGCTTGGAGACACCTTCTCTTTCTTAGCTCTTTAGTGCAGACAAAAGATATGAGAGTGTTGTTTTATGCAGGTAAAGCATGCTCACTCCTGTATTAACACCCGCATGTGCTATGTTAGTTATTAAATGAACCCAAAAAAGCTCAATGCATTTCCCACAATAGATCTAAGCTGCTGCCTTGACTCATAAAACACTGCCATTTCCAGAAACTGACGCAGCTGCTCCAGTATTTACTGTAACTACTGCACTTTCTATAAAACTTCAATGCCCTGAGTTTGCTAACATAGTTGTGAGCTGCTGCTTTACCGCAATTCAATGCATGTGCAACAGCAGCATGATAAACAAAAGTGACGGCCTGAATGTACTTGATTAAAATGTCATCATTTCCACTTGGGTAAGAAATAACGTCAACAAAAGTAAACTGAACTACAAAGTTGTGTTTTGATGCATTCATGTGGAAATGATGGCGATATTACAATCAAGTGAAGTTATTGCATCAAATGCATTGCACTAATCAGGATACTTGTGATGTGTTGCATTAACCCAAACTCAAATGCATCTGCCAGAATAGGTATGAGCTTAACTGCTTTTGCCAAAACATACTGCGCAGTGACATGCAGCGTACAGCACTGACTCATAAAAACGTAGCGTTTGCCAGAATAGTTGCAGGCGGCTACACTAACGCATATACACTGAATGCATTCCCGACAACAACAGTGAAATTATGCATTGTCAGAATAGTTGCAAGCTGTTGCATTAAGTCACAAACACATAATGCATTGGCCAGATGAGTTGCAAGCTGCTTCACTGACTCATAAAAACTCAATGCATCTGCCAGAATAGTTGCAAGTGGCTACACTAACGCATAAAAACTGAATGCATTTCCAACAAAAGGAGTGAAATTGTGCATTTGCGCACTGCATCTCTCAAAGTTGTTGCGAGCTGTTGCATTTAGTCACAAACACATAATGCATTAGTCAGAGGGGTTGCAAGCTGATTCACTGACTCATAAAACCTCAATGCATTTGCAACACAGGAGTAAAATGATGCCTTTGCGCAGTGTATGGTTGCGAGTTGATGCACTAACATATGAAAAAACTTTGCCAGGAAAGGTAAGGAGTTTAACTTTTGGTTGCGATAATGCATTCATGCATTTTATGTCAAGACAGTTGTAAATTGCTACAGTAACACACAAAAAAATGTTGCAGCAACATAAAAAAACACTGCATTTTCCAGAATATGCATTAATATGCATTAAACTGTTGCATTTGCCAGAACAGTGGTTTGATAATGCATCAGTGGGCTGAGTATGTCAGAATAGCTGTGAGTTGCTACAGTAGCACCAATGCATTTGAACAGGTTTGAGTGCAACTACTGCATTTTGACAGTGGTGTGTAAATGCAATTGCTATAACAGTTACAGGACACTTTATTAATGCACTGAATTATACCTATAACAGCTGTATAGCAGTATGATATTATGTATAATAGCTGAATCTATAATAGCTGTCATCTGTTTGGCTTTGCATCTATACATGTAGAAAACCTGTTGGAAAAAAATACCATAGAAACCATTAAGTGTTTCTGTTGGTTCCTAATGGTTCTGTAATGTGTTTTGGCTTTTTTTAATGGGTTGACATCACAGTGTAAAGGATCCTAGTGGTTTAGCAGGTGACTAATTGCTGATCCTAATGGGTTTCCCAACAGCGTCTGAAGGTGTTTACAGGTAACCAGTGGTCTCTATTGGAAACCATTAAGCCAATTCCCATTAGAAAGCAAATTCTAATGGTTTCTGGTGGTGCTTTTTCAGTAGGGGGTGCAGGTCAGAACTTGTCCAAGACCCTGTTGCACGACCCCCCCCCCTCCTCCTCCAGGAATGGGTGAAGGTGACAGAAAGAAAGAAAGAAAGAAAGAAAGAAAGAAAGAAAGAAAGAAAGAAAGAAAGATACAAAGTAAAGATTAAGATAAAACAAGAGCTTTTAAATCCCAGAGAAAGAAAGAAAGAAAGAAAGAAAGAAAGAAAGAAAGAAAGAAGCACAGAAGAAAGAAAGAAAGAAAGAAAGAAAGAAAGAAAGAAAGAAAGAAAGAAAAGAGAAGCGAAAGCAGAGGAGAGTTTTGGCTCCACCAAAGCAACGTTGTGTTGACTGTAACTGCGGCTCATTGTGGAGCTCAGAGCGGAGCTCCGTCTCTCAGCCAAACAGCGGGACGCTGTTAAAGACTCACCGTGTTTTCCTTCTCTCCGCTCGGTTACCAGCCCATCCTGGGTCGCGCTCTGCTTTTGTGTTTTTGAGGGTCGTTCGGCTCAAATTAAGCGGTTCCTTCTAACGAAGCGCCCTCAAAACACCTCCATAATCCTCCAGAAGAGTTGTGTCGTCACGGCCATGAGGACTAAAGTCTCCAAAACTGGCCCTTTTTTAATGTGAAATCCCGAGTGTCTACGTGAGCTCCCGAACTCAAAGCTGGAAAGAAAGGCAGCGGATCCTCTGGTAGCTGCTGCTTCTCCACGAATGAGGCCAAAATCCTCCTTAAAGAGGGCGATGGGCTCTTCGAAAGGAGGAAATGTGCACCGTTAGTGGTCAGTTGGTGTGAGTTTGTCCGAGGTTTTCCCTCTCCGAGCTGTGCTGAATGAGGATATTCCCATTCCTCGCAGACATGGAGAGGCTGAGGATCAGCTCTAATGGCCCTGCCCTCCTGACATAAGGAGCGAGGAATTTGAGGAATGCGAGGCTAAACGGAGAGAGAGAGAGAGAGAGAGAGAGAGAGAGAGAGACTTTACCGAAGTACTCCACAACTGTACGTAAAGGGGAACTCCACCGATTTCCCAAAATGCCTGCATAATTAAATGGTGAAATATACGAAGTCGTTCAGAGTGGTTTGGTGTGAAATCGTCTGTTCTTACTTACTGAGTCAGAACTGTTCACAGTGGTGGTGATAGGAACCAGACGTCCACCTCTAAAAACTCCCTCACAGAAAGTTTTTTTTTTTTTACATGAAATGGTTATGAATACACAGCCTGATGTCTGACACACTGTTTGATGATAGTTTTGTGATCAATTTAATCAGTTTATTTTAATCTATTCTTGGTGGAGGGATAAATGAAGGGTGTTCTAAGCCTTAGATGCAAAATCCCCACTATTTGCCACTATTTGCCACTATTTTACCATCATAAACATTCCAAAAAAAAAAACTCAGAGGGTTCACTGGTGGTTTTGGATAGTAAATAAAATGTCTGTATTTGTGTTGTAGTCATGGTGACCCCTGGTTCCTGTCACCACCACTGTAAAGAAATCTGTTTCTCTACAAGTTAATCACATCAAACCACCCTGAATGATATTTTGAAAAGTTGGTGGAGTTCCCCTTTAAGTAGGGTGTGTTCCGGTGTTAAGGGCCATCAGGTTTAATAGGAACCACTTGAAACCTGTTTATTCCAGTTTCATCTGATCATCTGATCAAAATTTGTACTCAATTTTACAATTTTATGAGTTCATGATTGTGAAATTAATAAAAGACATAAATCTATTAGGGTACAAGCCTAATATGACCAAATTAGCTGATTAGCTGCCCTCACTTAACTGAAAACAGAAGCTCCAGCCTTATAACAACTTAATCAGTATCTAATAGTCTGTTAAAGGGGTTAATAATTATATAATTATTAATTATTAAGGTGTTAATAAGTGCTACCATTTGAATTATTAACCATTTACTTACTTTATATCTTTATTAATATTAATACTTTACATAGTCACAACTTTGAAATATGAGCCCAGCTAATGATTATTAATGTTTAAACAAGGATATTAACCACTTAACCCAAACTTAAATAAACAAACTTACTCACTCTTGTCATTTTAGTGTCTCTTTGAATATGTTTTCCGCTTTCTTGTATTTACATGCATCCACATCAACCCAACTGATGAAAACGCACCCAATTCACAGTAAGTTTGTTACAACATCAACACTATTGTGAAAGATAATAACTGTGGAAAATAACTGTGGTCGGCTTAAATATAGTGACCAGGCAATTATGTGATAATTGCAACACAAAGCTAATATGAAGTTAAATCAACTCAAGTTTAATGTATTTACAAAGCACCTTTAAAAACAATAAAACAAAAAATGGTTGACCAAACTGCTGTATAAGAGATTAAAATGAAGCAAACAGTGGAATAAAAGAAAAGCCATTCAGGAAAATAGTAAATGCATGGAATAAAAACACATAATCACCTCTAACTCTATTATAGAATATAATATTACATTGTATTATAAACTTTTTATTAGAGGAGCAATTGTTGAAGTTAATATATATCTCCATTTTTGGTGTTTTTCAGTTTTCTAAATAGTTTGAAAATAGCTGTTGCCCTTTATATTGTGTGTAAATTTCATGAAGAATGGGCCAAAAGAAATGTCCCAAAATGACTTGGAAAAACTCTGTTTCCATTGACTTACATTGAAAGTAAAGTATGTTTTCTGCTTCTCCTTCTTACAGGTAACCAGTGGTCTCTATTGGAAACCATTAAGCCAATTCCCATTAGAAAGCAAATTCTAATGGTTTTGTTCCAACAACAGCGATATATATATATATATATATATATATATATATATATATATATATATATAAAGGAAATGTTTATACATCACAAATTAACATTCTAGTCATTCAAAACTGGCATAGGCAGTTTTTGAGTTATTAATATTAAACAGCTAAATCATTTGTAACAAACTATGATTAATAATTCAGTTTCTACATTTTAAAACAGTTACTGATTCTTTGTACGCCCCTAAGTAAATGGCTAATAATTATGAATGCATATATAACCATTACATAATCACAAGCAAACATTAACAAACGATCAGATAATTATTAAGCTGCTGTTTATTATGGCCTGTTATTATAAAGTGTTGCCAATATTACCAACACTATACATTCACAAGTTTAAAGACACTTACTTGTTTCTTCTAAAATCAAGGGTGTTAATAGCCTTCTGGGAAGGCTTTTCACTAGATCTTGGAACATTGCTGTGAGGATTTGATTGCAGCCTCAAGAGTATTAGTGAGGTCAGGTGCTGATGCAGGATAGTCAGTTCTGGATCCCTCCAACTAATCCCAAAGGTACTGGAGCTCCATCACACCAGATAACAGTTTCCCTGCTCCACAGCCCAAGCTTGGGGGCTTTATACCCCTCTAGCCCACACTTGGCATTAGGCATGGTGACCTTAGGCTCGCGCGGCAGCTCCAGAGAGTCCCATTCTATTGGTTAGTGGTTATCTATTGAGATTATACAAGCAGTGTATGCACAGTTTAACCCCTGTATGGGTGCCCCTTAAAGTGGCTGAATTCACTAGTTAGAGGTGTGGCTGCATACTTTTGGACATACAGTGTATTTATTTTACTGGCTGCACCTTTTAATTATACCTATATCTTTTAAATGTACTTGAGATAATGCAACATTGCCTACTTTGACTCAAGTGAAGGACTGAATGCTGACTTTTGCCCTTTTAGAGGTTTAAACAAAAGTGACTGGACGTTGAGCAGAGGGGGGTCTTGTGTTTAATGAGCTAGTCATGAATTGCTAGAGGCAACTGGTGGGGTGGAAGTGGGAGGGGGGTATCTAGACCATCCTTAGACCATCATGAACTAAGTAGCATGTGTTAAGGGGAGTCTAAGTTAAACTCATCAAAGCAGACTAATGTTTATTACACTAAGATATATGTTACATCATAATACACTACAAGGCAAAACATTGTTGATGTAACATATTGCATTAATGTGGCAATTTTTGTGCCCTCTATATCTTATGATGACATCATTGATGAACAGTAATTATTCTACTATTTTTGCATACAAAATAATGTAATTGAGGTGTCTAACAGGCCTTCCTGTGGGTGCTCTCCAACATACAGTGGGGCCCAATAATCCACACTAAAGCAATGGAGCAACAAAAAGTTTTAGAATTGTTAAAGCCTCCAACAATTTTATTTTTTTAGCCTTATCATTTCTAATGAAGCATTATTATCTGTGTTAACCTATTACACTTTTATGGCCACTGTAGTGGAAATGATGTGGTTTTAATGACACGCAACAGCCCCATTTCTTGCTAAACCCTGCCCTCTGGTGGTAGACCTGTAAAATTGCACGTATTGGCAGTGTGGCGTTAGTGCAGCGTCAACAAGGAGGGGGCGCTGTTTACTTAGAAACGCAATGTCCTCCTTTACTTTTTAGCCCTTTTTATGATTCCATATACATGCAGCAGGCAAGCATTTAACTGCACCTGCTCATAGAAGCGTTTTCCTTATTTTAGCCTCATATTTTAGAATAAAGTGAAGAAATTAAACTATGAAATAACATTTAATGTTCCAAAGTCTTTTTTTTAAATGTCTTGTTTAACCGATATTTCAAACAACACATTCATGTGTTACTTATTGTTGTTATTGCTTGATAAACATGTTTAATTTAATTGAGAGGGATGTACACTACCAGACAAAAAAATTTGGATTGATTGTACGATATTGACCAGCTTATGCTTAAAAGATGGAATGTCGTCACCTAAACCAGTGTAAACAGTGTAGGCCATGCCCATTATAATCATACCAATTCATATCCAAAATGTAAATTATAGTTATTATAAAGATTTTTTTTTTCTCAAAAAGTAGTTTTCAGCAGCAAGCAAGGTCTCAGCAAATCAGTCCTGTTGGAAAAGCTTCCGAGGTGGCGCCTCATGAAGCTGTTGGGCTGTATTCTCAAGTCAATCCCAAAAACACTCTATTCTCAGATTCCGGGCATTTGGGAATGAAGAGTTGACTCCAGAGCTTTGGATTCGTTCCTCACAGTGAGCAGGAGATGTTTACCTTTCACTGTCTAGACAGCCTGTCTGAAAAAAAACATCCATCACACACATCAAAAGACTGGATATATTAATTTGGACAAATATCTAAATACATCTATGATACAAACCGAAGCCCCACTGAAATGCTGCATTTTACTGGTCACCCTGTGTCACTTTTGCACCTCACTGGGCAGATTTCACTGCTTCTCTTGTGCACCAAAGTTTGCACTTGCAAAAACTAAAAAACGGAACACTGTAAAAAACAGAAGAGTCACGGAAAAGTTCAGTTTTTCTGGGCACACTGTAAAACACAGTCTAACAACATGTTGACTGTGCATGAAAGACAGATTCTTGTCCTGTTAACCTATGGTTCAAAGTTAGCTGGCCATTTTAAGGTAGCCCTGCAGTGGCTGAGAACTGCAAAAATGAGCTGCAAAAGCAGAGGACACTTTCATCACAATGTCAACATTTACGCTGCATTTTAAAAAAGCTTCACTCCAGAAAATCGAACAGCTCTAGAAATTGACATTAGTGCGTAAAGTTGACATTAAGGCAAAAATGGGCTACATTTAAAAATGTAAAATATAAGATACTTTTTATAGTCACTTTTCCCGTCATAGTTTAATGTCATCACTTTTATTCTAAAGTGAGCAAAATAAGCTAAAAGTTAGGAAAATTCTTTTTTGACTAGATTTGTCTAAACTTTTGACTGGTACTGCATTTCAGGGCAGTGATGAATATTTTCTTAGAAAAAGATACCAAAAATAAGCAAATGAGTCAAATAAAAACTCACTTAAATGCCAAATGTTGCCTCCAGTTCACATACCTGAGCAAAGTGGCCTGTAATAGTGTACCACCGAATACG